TGAAAGTGTTTCCCATAAACTACCCACATGATGAGCGCTTAGATAGATGGGATAAGTGCAACCTTTGCTTTTTGTAAGATGAGGCACTGTATCGCATTGGGAGTATGGTAATCCCTAAACTTTATTGTTGCATTGTATTTGAGAATGTGGGTAACTATTCTGCGTACTCGGGGGAGCGGTCAATCGCTCAAGAATGTGAGTATCATCCAATTATGTGTATTTTGTCGCGACGAGTGTACGTGCAATTGGATACATGTTTTCTAAGCATATATTGTTTTTTCCAATCAGGCTAGAATAATTTCGTAATCGAAGGTATTGAGAAAATTTCAAATAAACTTCTGGCACAAAATACTATTTTTGGTTAGATACTAAGTGGACTAGTTATGGAACCAGTTAGCACCACAACAACTCAAGTTGACGAAAATTCCAAAGAATACCTTAATTGACAATTAAGGAAATTTCGGGAGTTAGAAAAACCCCCCTCATAACAACCCCAGAAGATCAGTATTGTGAAGACTTCTACAAAGTCTCGATCAAATAATGGCCGGTACGTCGTACGACTACCACCAAAGCCACAATCTTCCAACACTCTACAAATTGGCACAAAAAACCTTGTCAGAGTTTCTTCTGACAACCTCAGTGTTAAAAACACAAGTATATATAATTCAACCAAATCATCGAGATATATTACTAAATATTCGAAAAGAAATTTGTTGTACACTAATTTCCTTAAATTTGAAACGGGCAGTACAACATAAAAATACAGGGGATCCAATGGAATGCGATATCTGATCAGCTTTCATATCCTACTGAGTCAATATCCGCATTATCCGCAATAACATTTTTGACCCCGCAGGATGGCTCTCGCCAATTATGATACAAGCGAAAATCCTGGTATCCTGGTCACAATTCTCAAACAACCTAAACGATATTCGAATTTTCCGATTCTTGACCACAATCGCCCACGTCCATACATAATATCGTTCGCAGCATAGTTGTCCCAGAAAGTCGAAAAATCGACACTCGATTTTCATAATTATGAAACAATTATAAAATAAAGGTAAGGGATCACCATACTCCCAATGTGATACATTGACGCACCTAGACTTACTGAAAGCAAAGGTCGCAGTTGTCGCATCGATGTAAGCGCTCCTCATATAGGTGGTTAATACGAATTAGCTATATAAAGCATCAAATCCTACTTCAAAAAAGTAGCTGGATATTTCAAACATAAAGATATCGAATTTACCACATTACTAACTCGAAAAAACCCATTATCCATTCACGGCTAATCACTGTACTCTCGCAAGATCCCTCTTCCAAAGTTTGAAAGGAGCTCCCAATCTGGCCATATCTGAGCCAGGCGTGGAGTCGCTATCCTATAAGTCGATAATACAGAAATAATAAATAACCGCAAACAAATATAATGTATAGACAAGTATCACATAATAATAAGTCGTCAAGCCAGAAAATTCATATTAAGGGTATATCAATATGACCCCCTTACGCACAATAAAGCTGCTTATCTTCTCTGAGCACTAGTACCAACATAAAAATACAAAATTTGATATAAAACCAAATTCGTCTATGGATAAATATGGATATACCACTACTGCCTTATCATGCATACCGCGCCCTCGGCTACTCCAACTGCAGTACGCCGTGATACCAGGGATATTTACAGCATATCTGTACTACTAGGCAAAATATTCGCCTAGAGGGCCTAGGATGTTTAAATGACTATAAACTCCCCCTCCAACTACACCGCTTCATCAGGGTAAATAATGACACACCCTAATACAACACACCACACCTTGGAACACAACTCGCACTCACAACATACACGACCACACTGCACACGATGCCACCACAGAAGTAACCACCACACACGATGACATCCCACACAATCAACAATAAAAGAGGGATTGGATCTTCAATTCACCTCATTCGAAGTAATAGCGATCCTGAAGCGATTCATTTTACTATTTAATACATCAATAGATTACGTGTAACATAAACTTGTGTAAAATATAAATTTTCGCATATTTTATATTTATTATAAATATTATGTATTTTCACTTGTAACATTAACCGCGAGTGTAAGTGATTCACAAAAACTTAAATATGTGCTGTGTGCTTCCCATTAAAGTGGGCACCCAATCATTAATATGTATTGCTGATAGGTATTTTTATTCATAAAAGAAACTTAGTGACATATTGTCGGGTACAACATCATCGATTTTACCATTTCCGAAGTTTTCAGATGTATTTTATTTTATGTATTATTCACGAGTGGTAAGTGCTTCCAGTATTTGGGTTAGTCCCTTTACAGCGGGAAACACGAACGAAAGGTGCAATTGTTTGACATTTTACCAATCCAAAGGTCGGTACCTATGGATCTCTTAGGTCCATTTCCAAAAAGCAAATGAAGCAATCAACATGTTATAGTACGGGTATGGGCTTTTACGACCATTGCTCGAACCAGTGCGCTACATGAAAACCGCATGTGTACTTATCCTGTTATGGAGATTGATGTCGATTTTTAGATCTTTTAAGAATTATCACCAGAGGCACTTTTTATACGTCGAAAGATTTTGATGCCTTAAAATTGTGTACGATAATGCATTAAATAAGAGGAATGTAATATTATATAATAACTTTTTTGTTGAAAAAATATTTATACTGGAAAAATTTCATAACAATAACAAGTAAGGAAGGTTTAACCTCAGGTGTAACCTCACATTAAGCGATTTCATATCCAATATTATATGTTACATTAATTTCGCCAAGACATTATATATATTGATCGATATATGTTTAAGCTACAAATTCAATCGCAAGTTTTAAACTCGTATATTAAGTTTATGGGGGCTATAGGTAAGATTACCCAGAGCAGGCACAATGTTACAATATTATTAGAGAGGTACCAGAAGACTCAAGGGCACATTATCATCAGGAAAATATTATTTCCGAATTTCAGAGGATTTAACCAATATTTTCGCTATAAAATCAGCTATTAGCACTGAGGTTCCCATGTTTGGTATCTAAGGACTTTAAACTATGATCAAATTTTGACCATTTTTGAACATTAGATGGTTTCCCTCAGAAGCATAATTTCCCCTCACTTTACTGGTGATTGCTTTAGATTCGACAAAGTGCATGATTGATGTGTAAATAGGTGTATGATAATGTGTAGGAGTGGTTGTTGTCCGATTTCAGCCATTTTCACAACGTACCACGCCACGCCCGTTTTCCAATTTAATACCGCAATAAAATTCTAGGAGAGATCCTACAGATTCAACTCGACCCCGAGAAGAAGCCTTATATTAACAGTGATGATTTTTCAGATAAATCTGCATAAAAGCAAGGTCACCTCTACCGAGCTCCGTGGATTTAATTCAAGAACCATCGATAGTGTCGGGAAACATAGTAGCCGGACTAAGGCGCTGTCATATTACACATACATCCCGAGTGCAACAAACAAAGTAAGAACTGTTATACTGGTAAGGAAAAGTATGCATTCGTATATTGATATTGACTATTGATGACTTGACTGTGGTGAAGCGGCCCAGTAGAATTCCGGGGGTTGGCCGATGCGGCTGATAAAGCGCAGCGCACAGTATTGTGGGATACCAACGAAAGGAGTGGGTATTTATTAAACTTTACAATGATAGATAATCTAGTTATAGGTAATCGAAGGGAGGAACCAATATATATGGGGCCTACTTTGTAGAACACTCTCTATGTAACACTACATACTAGCTTAATAATCAAGATTGAAAATTGGGAGGTGCTTCGTAAACACTAATAACAATATACAACAATATAGAAATAAGTACAATTATTGATTCTGTGTCACGTGGCGGCATACTTTGCAGATGGATACGATCGATGCTTATAAATATACTTTTTATGGCATCAAATGTTTCAGGGACACGAACAAGCTAGGTAAGTAAAGACACTCCTCCAGGAGCAAGGAGATGTCTTTTGACCTTTTTATGGGTGGTGGCGCTAAATGGAATACTACTTCAACTCAATAAAGAAGCTGTGAAAACAATAGCATATGCAGACAACATAGTGTTGATGGTATCAGGGATGTTTCCTTCCACGAAGGACTAGGTAAGTAGTAGCCCTAGTAAAACGGAACTGATGCTTTTCACGAATAAAACCAAAATACCATAATTTAATTGTCCCTTATTTGGTGGTACAACAATTTCTTTGTACCGCACAGCTAAGAACCTATGGGTTGAAATCGATACCAAACTGAATTGGCAAAATTACCATTGAAAAATAAATAAATAAAGCGTATATGGCCTATTAAACCTGAAAAAAAAATACTTAGTGGGAACTGGTGACTTACGGAAGGATTATGGTCACTGCTCCAAGGCATAACGGATATATAATGAGGACAAAATTGTTAATTTAAGTGAAATAAACTGGTAGCCTTGGAGGCACTGCACATAAATAACATTAGGTTACCCTTACCTCCCTAGTTTGAGTGGTGATTTTGTTCGTATATCGGATTCATGCGAGTGCCAATCGCAACGCAGTATATGTACATACAGTACACTATAATATGTTTAACATTGAATGAGATATCGATTTTTCAACAATGTTTTAAATTATTTTATTAAAAAAATATGTTACATAACTTAGAATTCATTTGTAAATGGATTCTTCTGCAATTTTGCTATCGAAGCGTATACGAGTACATGGATAAATTCATTAACTCTTTCCTGATTAAAATTATAAAATACCTTTACAACATACCGTCTTCCGAACATTTAACGCAGCGTGCCCAATATATACGAAAAATTCTAACGTTGACGTTCAACGGCATTTTGAGCATGGCAGTTGTCCGATTTTGCCCTTCTGCAATACTCTCCACTAATCAATTCTTTATAACTTTATATGTATTTATATCGATTAGGTAAACAAAACTAGTATACTCTCTGCATCATATTTCGAGAGTGTAATTAATAATTCTGATAATAACTTACCTTGAATATCTGCGTTTAAGTCTCGCTCACAAAAATTCGGCGATCTTTGGTAATAAAATAACGATGTCTCAAGGGAGCCGGCAGACCTTTTTTCATTTTTTTCCATCTTCATTTTGCGAATGGGAGGTTCATTTCGTTCTCGGTTGTCAGCTTGCTTAATTTTTGTGGAAGAATTTTGTTTCTTAGTTCGTGATCGTTTTAGTACAACTATAGGTTCCCCATTTCCCAAATTAGATTGGTCCACTAATAAAGCCCGTCGAAACTGATGCTTAAGCATTTTACCTACTATGTGGAAATTCGGTGCAGATTTCCAACAAGTTTTTAACTGGCAGCTACCGGACATTCCATGACATTTACATCGTAGCTCCATGTGGTTGGAAACAGCCTAAAAATCAATTTCCAATTTCATTAAATCAAAGATGAGCAATGTTGCATATATGAAATAACTATAATATTATAAAGGAAGAGGTTGGAACACAACATTTTTTTTTTAATTTTGCTGAATATGATTATTTTGAATACATACGTACCTACCTACCAATTGTGTCAAATTATGTCAGTGCGTTCAGTAAAGTGTGCCATCGCTTAGAAATGTGTAAATAGGTACAATTTTATTTTGAATATCATTTTAAAATGTATACAAAGCAAAACTAGCATTACTTTTTAAATAATAAAAAAGAAAAAAGTTTAGCTTAAGCGATATGCGATTCCTATGGTATGGAGCAAGCAAAAGAACCATAGTGATGATTGTTACTTTTGTGTGATTGTTACTTAATGTGAATAGTATAAATCAAAACGGAAACACTCAAACCCCAATTTACAATCAGCATATACATATATCACATATAGCTCATGAGACCGAAACACCAGTTCTCAAGGCCCATGTTACCTTACGAAGATGGTGCTGTACCTGAATCCGATGACAAGTCAAGTTTTGAATTTAAAGATAATCCGAAATTTTCTTTCGAGAGCGAGAAATTTTCTTTTTGTTCGGAGGCGCCTTTCTTCTAGTTTAGATCTCGAGAAAAGTAGTGCACTTCCTGCCTGAAAAGACGAGTAAGTTTTTGTACCAATATCGAAGGTTTGGTGGATACGTTTATGATCTCATACGGTCCAGCACAGTAGCGGGTCATAGAATCTTCAAACAAATGTCTTCGGTCATTCTGTCCATCTCAAGGATATATACAACAACTTGGAATTGGTTCTTTGCAAATTTAATTATAGATACAACTCTTCACTAGTATTCAGTTATTAAAAATATTCAGTTATTCAATATATCATAGAATAGGTAGTAACAAAGACCCTAACTACAAACAAATCGTCAAAAAAATTTTAAAAGCATTTCAATCTTTAGATTGCCTAATGAGTCTAAAAGTACATTTCCTTTGTTCTTTCCAGACAATTTAAGAGATGTGAATGAAAAGTAAGGTGAACGATTTCACCAAGATACTAAGGCTATGAAAAAATATATATTCTCATGGGGAAAAAGAAATGTGTTTACTACTTACTAATAAATGTGTTGTAGATAAAAAATAGGTTTTGTTAAAGAGTATAAATATTATTTTTAGATGATAACTTGTTTAACATAGATACATACATTGTCCGAAAACGTGACGTTCTATGACAAAATAAAATTATTTTTCGGACTCGGCACACCCAAAAACATAGCAATTACGGAGATAAATCGAAACTGTTCTCTGTTTTTACATACTTGGGAAATATTACGTATGAATACTGTATACGTTTTTAGGAAAAGATATAGTGTAAAATGAAAGTCTCAAACCAATACATTAAAAGTGGGCAATGCCACGACTATTATTTGTATTTTAAAGGGACACTGACCGTAACTTTCAGTAGTTTCGAATAACACTGCAAACATTTTTTTTTATGAATATAACCATGCTTTTGACATTTTCTTTGTAATAACTTCCATTTTTTTTTTGTGGACGTTATTGATTACGAACAAGTTAACGTAGAAAGTATCATAATCCAAGCATATAAAACGGGGAGTCCTCTTACAGTGCATATAGTTTGACATGATTACGGAGCAGAAAATGTAAAAATCCACTGACTTCTTTCCAAGGCATGAAATATTCGAGAAGTTTCTTTCTAGATATTTCTAGAAGAGAATTATCCAGACGTTGCCTAGTTCATTAATAAAAAAGGAACCCTTCCAGGCAGGCAGTTAGTCGGTTACTGTCCACGAGCTCCCTGCATTTGTATACGATTATTCCGTACAGCGGCTTAAATGAGAATCGAGAATTCGAATGCAAATATTGCAGCTTAGGTGAAATGGACGTACTAAAGTTATTGAAACTATTAATGATCCACGTGAACATTGTGTTGCGTTTGACAACTTTTTGACCTCTCATCAACTGATGCATCTGCATTATGTGAAGTGATGGGAATGCAGCATGTTGATATGCAACACATCGTAAGAGCATACAATAATCGAATGGGTGGCGTTGATCTCTTCGATAACGATATGAACAATTATCGAATTCGTGTTCGAAGCAAAAAGTGGTATTGGAGACTAATAACAAATGGATTGGATGCCGCAATGGTGAACGCTTGGAAGATTCATTGTGCTCTCCTCAAGTATGAGAAGGGAAAGACACACACCACCAAAAGATCTATGACACAAAAAACAGAACCATTGAATCAATTACAGTTCCGTATTTACTTTGCAGAATGTTCGAATGGCAATACCATCGGTTTCGACTTTCGAAGCGTTTTACAGTCAACAGCTCTTCGAAACTCCAAAGATGCTGCTCTTGAGAGTGCTCGTAAAGACAAAGTTGATCATGGCATTGACAAATTAAAGAAGCCTCGGCGTTGTCAAAATTGTCACAAACACTCGTCTTATAAATGCACTAAGTGCATGCATGTTTAATAGCATTGCACGTTTGGTGCTTCAATCAATTCCACGAAATATGAAGTTAAGGTATTAAACTTTTAATAAAATTCATTCAAAACTTACTTCTGTTATGTATCTTTTTTCATTTTGTATACAATTTAATGTAAAATTGAAACATCGAACAAAACAATTGAATGATAAAACACTGTTTTACATTAGTGAGTATCGTTTTCGTCTCATGGTCGACTTTTCAACCACATTCCCATGGCCAAACGGATTAATGTAAAAATCTAAAAAAAATTCAAACCGTCTAGTTGTTTTCATTATAAGCAGAATATAAAGTTTAAATAAAATCAATGCATTGGGTCTACGAACGACGATTTAGCTCTAAAATGTCAACCAGAAGTATTCCTCCAAATTCTTTATTCCCGAGTGCAACTAACTGATGGCTGCCCCCGCATCGGTCTATTTCCTTTATTTTAATACTTTCGCAATAATGCTAACGGTTTTTTGTAACACCTAACATCTGCTGCTTTGGCAACCATGAAAGGTTTTTATTGCAGACGGGCGGAATTGGAATTGGTGTAGGGTATCGAGGGAGGGCTAACTGCGGTATGCAATTTTTAAATAAGAGGCGTGGCCCAGGCTTAATAGGTTTAAGGAAAGACTGATATTGACGAATTTATAGCACCTATACGTGAGCGTCTCGTAGTATTTCGAAGGCGGAGGGATCAAAAAGGAGGCCTATGAAGAAGTTGAAGGTTCATTACCAGGTATAGGCGATTGGTATGTTGTATGATTTGTTTATAATAATAAATATAATTCAATGAAACATATTTAACACGTTTTTCTCGAAACAACGTTCTAACGGTCGGCCCGGATGACACAAAATTGTCTATCCAACCGAAACCGACTGAAATTTGAATACATTATCAATTGCTATCGCATGAACTAGGATATTTTTTGTTATAGCTAACTTTCCATTTTATAATACATAAACAAATTCCACTTTTTTTCGAAGTCAATTGTTGTTTTATTTTTCAACGAAATTGTTAAAATAATCCACCAACCAGACTTTGCGGAACGTACATACACTCGCCAGAAAAATTATCCGTACACCTCGACATGAAAACAATAAACTGAGAAATTTGTGATCAAATAACTTATTATGTATAAAAATAGTATACAAAAGTTTTATTCAGTATTTTTACTACACTTTCCATGAGTTTTTTTTTTAAACATACACTTTAAAAAAAAATTCACAGAACAAAAACAAAAAAAGCTCACATAATGACACAGAAAAAGTATTCGTACATTTTGATTATAATTAAATATAATTAAATTATTTTGGAAAAATTTAATATCCTAATAACTAGTAGGATAGCCCTTACGTTTTAGGACCTCGGCAAGTCGATGTGGCATTGAATGAACTAGTTTGGATGTGTCATGATTTGTAATTTTCGCCCATTCATTTATGATCACATTTTTGAACATTTCTCTGGAGGTAATAGTGTGTTGGCGGATTCTGCGCTCCAGTAAATCCGACAAATGCTCGATGGGGTTGAGGTCTGGAGATTGAGGTGGCGAGCGCAATTGATTTTTTATGTTATAAAGCAACCAAAGCCTGGTATTGTGCGCCGTGTGCTTTGGATCATTATCCTGTTGGAACCAAAAATCATCACCAAGCCCCAACTGCTGAGCACTTTCCTTCAAATTATTTTTTTAAATACTTAAATAGCCGAATTGATCCATTATTGTATCTATAAAAACGAGTTTGCCTACTCCTTCTGCCGCCATACACCCCCATACCATCACACCTCCTCCGCCATGTTTGACGGTGGGTAAAAGATTTTCTTTATCAAGTGCAGTACCACTCTTACGCCACACCAACTTTTTTCCTTTAATGCCAAAAGCACAAAACTTGCTTTCGTCGGTGAATAAGACACGTTCCCAAAACTCCCGAGGCTTGCTGATATATTTGTTTGCAAAATCCATACATTTCTGTCTATTTACTTCGGATATAAAAGGCTTCTTACCCGCTACACGTGCGAGATACCCAGCTTTCTTCAAAAATTTTCGTACAGTATCTTCATGGAGATCCTTGTCGAACAAATTTTTAATATTTTCACATATTTTCGAGGCAGTAAGTCGAGGATTTGCTTTTACGGACTGTAATATTGTTCGTTTTTCTCGAACGGTTAATATACTCGGTCGACCAGAGCGTGGCTTTGGCACAATCGACTTAGTTTTTTTGAATGCTTCCACCACATACTGCACAGAAGAATGTGTCCTTCCTATCATTTTACCTATTTCTCGGAATGATTTGCCTTCTTTTCTGAGTTTAAGAATAATTTTTCTTTCGCCAGCACTAACTTCTTTAATTTTAGGGGTCATCGCGAATTTATGCACAATGAAAAATTATAATAACTTTAAGGTCAACCGTCAAGTTCGAGATCAATTATACAATACAATATAAGCGCTTAAGGGAATGTATTTGTCATCATATTACAAGGGAAATATCCCGTTTT